ATATCTTTTTTATTTTTTTAAAAAATTTTTTTTTTTTTTCTTTTGTTAATCAGAGGGTCTGGGCTCTCATAAACCAGGGTAAGATAATATAGGAGGAGTATGACACTCCAAACACGTGAGATTCAACATTTGCTTGCCTAATTCTTAACCATTGAAGTATATTACTGCAACTCGATAAAAATTACATCTAAATTACCGTCGTTGGCCATCCGCACCGCCACACCGTCAAACTCTTACTTTGTTTCCATACCTCTTCTTTTTACATGAGATATAGCTTTGACGTTCACAGCTGGTTACGTAACGTCTTGACTATGCGTGTTGGGTTTCACCGTTTCGCTAGGCTTACTTACACACAGTGGTTAGGCTTGAGGAATGGTTGTCTGTTGACCAAGAATGCCGACCTGTTGGCAGCAGGAGTAAGAATATAGAATATTTATTATATAGGATAATATATATATGTGTGTAATCATACGTGTGTATATATGTGTGTATCAGATATAAGATAATACTATTAGTGTGTATGATATAATGTCATTATATAATATAGGCTCTTATATATCTTATCCTGCCGCACAGGTGGCATTCTTTTGATGGTTGCACGTAATATATCATCGTAACAAGATTAAGGCCAAGCAATGTTGAATTTCGCTGTTTGGAGTGTCATACTCCTCGCTATATATATCTTTACTCCTGATAATACTACATAACTCAACACCAACTCATTACAGGGCGCGGCCATTTTGGAGTAACTAAAACATGGATCGGAAAACCAGTAACCCACACAAAGACACTTTAATAAATCAATTAATAAAATCAAAAAGGGAAAAGCTAGCAGTATTAAGTACGGATAAAAGGATAAGGCGCGAGATAAATAAATAAACAATTAAACATAGAATACAAATGGAAAATAACTCGGCCGGTACAGCGATGCAAAACACGGGGGACTCAGCTTGCCCCTCCCTTATGATAGTAATTGTAATTGTATCATTAATATATCAATTAGTTATATCAGTATTCAGTAGTATCGTGTAGTAGTAGTAGTATGTGGTAGGTAGCTAGTCAGTAGTACGCAGTCGTAGTAGTATAGTAGTTGCAGTGAGTACGTATGTAGTAGTAGTAGTAGTAGTAAGTAGTAGTAGTAGATAGGGTAGTACGTAGTAAGTATAGTATAGTCAGAGTAGTACGTAGTCTAGTAGTAGTAGTAAGTATAGTAGTTGTACATGTGTCATTAAAACTGTGTATATACTTATTCCTGGCCTAGTTTCACACAGACTGGTAGGCAAAATTCCAGCTAGTGTAATACATTATCCAGCTAGCATTACGGACTGAAACCGGAGACATTTCCAGCTAGTGTAAATTTAGGTAGTATGTCGTCTAAACTAGCTAGAAAATGTATACACTAGCTGGGAATTTCTCGTATCATCCTAATCTAGCTAGAAAATGTATACACTAGCTGGGAATTTCTCGTATCATCCTAATCTAGCTAGAAAATGTATACACTAGCTGGGAAATTTCTCCTACCAGTCTAAATTAGCTGGATAATGTATACACGAGCTGAAAAATTTCTCCTACTATCTTAACTAGCTGGGAAATCCCTCCTACCAGTCTAAACTAACTAGAAAATGTATACACTATCTGGGAATTTTTCGTATCATCCCAGTCTAGCTAGAAAATGTATACACTAGCTGGGAAATTTCTCCTACCAGTCTAAATTAGCTGGATAATGCATACATACGCTGGAAAATTTTTCCTACTATCTAAACTAGCTGGGGAATTCCTCCTACCAGTCTAAACTAGCTAGAAAATGTATACACTAGCTGGGAAATTTCTCCTACCAGTCTAAATTAGCTGGATAATGTATATACTAGCTGGGAAATTTCTCCTACTAGTCTAAACTAGCTGGGAAATGTAGCGTCAACTTATTTACCGGCTGAGAAATTTCACGTGGCCTTCACACGGTAAATTTGTTGACCGGGTGTGGACGCATGCGCAGAACACAGAGTGTCGACTTATTTCCCGGCTGAGAAATATACCGGGACACCGCCTTGACGACGCCGTTTGTTTACATTTAGCCTTTTTGCATCCGCTGGTACCGGCCGAGTTATTTTCCATTCGTATTCTAGTTTAATTGTTCATGTATTTATCTCAACTTTATCCTTTTATCCGTACTTTAATACTGATAGACTTTTTTCTTTTTGATTTTATTAATTGATTTATTAAGTGTATTTTGTGTGGGTTACTGGTTTTGCAATCCATGTTTTTAGTTACTCTAAAATGGCCGCGCCCTGTAATGAGTTGTGGTTTGAGTATGTAGTATTACGAGAGCCCAGACCTTCTCATAACTTTAGGATTAAGATGAAAATAACACATTTACACAAAGAATTGCAATTATAGTGCTATTATAATTTATATTAATGAGTAAAATGTGTTTTTCATGAAAAATACATCAGAAAACTTGCTTATCTACCGATCATAAACCAAGACAAAACATTTACAAATGGCGTTTGTTCTCAGGTTTGAAGGTTTGTTGAGTCCCACTAAGGGGAAGTGACGTCACTCCGCCCTCACCAATATCCGTAGCCATCTCGGGAGTGTCTATATTCAGGCCGGTACGGGAGATACGGTACGCATATATTTGCTAATATATTGACTAATCGCGCGTCAATAAACTCAATATTCACAGAGAGTATAGCTAAGACATGTGTCTATAGGTATCTAGAATTATATATAGACTTTAGTGTTTTGACGAAAAATGATTGAAGGTCTATTGGTAAAGACGTGTGAACTATAATAGAAATTTCGAATTGACGCGTAAACTCATCAGTTTCGACTTTTGCCTTTACCTTTTTACCACAACCCGTCTCGACATAACGCTAATAACACTCATATGCACAGGCTAAATGCTCGCGTGTGTCGTTGATCAGCTGTCTCGCGGAGCGAGTGAAACTGTGATGAAATAAATGTAACTCGCGCCCGGTCGCTTGAGCCAATCTGTTATACGGCGTCGCACGACTCTATCGGTATCCATATGCGCTAATGCAATGCGGAAAGGAAAGATGAGGAGATTTGCCGTCGGTCGACGCTACCACAGCAGCCTACCTCAAACAACGAACGAGAATGAAATGGACGCGCGAGCGCCTGCATGCAAATAGCCTAGCTTTCGATTCCCCGGTGAATCGCCGGATGGTGTTGCGCGCGAAATAACGCTCGGCTGAAACGCGCCGGGTCATGTTAGTGAGCGTAGAGTCGATGCAAATCGCCTATAGCCTCGTGTTTGCGTAACAGACACAGCGATTTCACGATGAACGTTGCTAATGTGTTGCTCGCCGAATCTATACATAGACGCTATTCCACGCTCGCATTCAAGCCAAAGCGATGGATCATTCGCGCATTCGGAAATGAATAACGGAATGCGTGCGCGCGCGATAGAATCCTCATATTCCAATCTCGCGCAAGATGAGACAAGTAACAATTGAGTTTAACGTCGCTCCGGTGTGTGTTTCTCGAGAATATAAATTACGAGAGAAACCCGGCAGTGGCGCTAACTAAAGTAACGATATGTAATTGACAATGCGGCTTACGTAGTGACACGGACACGGGTGCACTGCCAAGCACGCGCTAGTAAGTAACGAATTAATCCAGGTGATGAACAACGTGACGTAATAGGAAGCGAGTGAGTGACGCCAGCGTGTTGGGCGGTGACAGTTAGATTGCTTTATTTAGTTTAAAGTATTACGACAAATTGCTCTCCTTGGCATCATCTTCTTCTCCATCTCCCTCCATCTACCCCTCCTCTCTTTCCCCACCTCCCCGCCTATTTCTGTCTTATCTCTCTCTTTCCCAACCTCCCTCGCGCATTATTCTTACTGTCCTCTTTCTTACGCTCTCTCTCTTTCTCTCTGTGTGTCAGAGAAAGAGAGGTGGGCGGCATGACCACACAGAAAAACGAGTGAATGCGAGATATAGACAGAGCGAGGCCGACAGATAGATAGAGTGAAAAATAAAGGAAGATAGATATATAAAGATAGGGGAAGCGAGGGAGAGAAGGAGAGAAAGAGAGCGAGAGACAGATCTAGAGACAGAGACATAGAAAGAGAGATACGCGATCATCACGCGCGCTTGCATCGATATGACTCACCGCGGACACACTTACTTACACATTACTACACCTTAAGACGTACTTACCGTGTGTGGCGGTCAGGCAGCAAGCCAGTATGGTCACTATCAAGCACAACTCTACTGCCTCTATCGTTCTCATCGTAGATTCTGCGTCTGAAGGGCCTGTGTGTGGCACACGAGGTGTAAACGTGAGCTGGTGAAGGTTAGACGGTAGTCGGCTGTTCGATTTGTTTCGAGTTCGCACAGTCTAGCACCCAGTGCGACACTACTCTCTTTCTCTCTCTCTCTAAATCTTTCTCTCTCTCTCTCTTAATCTCTCAATCTCTCAATCTCCCAATCTCTCAATCTCTCAATCTCCCTCTCTCTCCCTATTCCTATTCCACGTTTTCGTTCTCCCTGTCGCTCGCTTGCGCTCAACTATCTTTTCGCTTTTTCGTTCTGCTTTCTGTCTCCCTCGCCTTTTCACTCTAGCGCTGCTCTCTGTCTTTCGCGCACTATTGTCGTCTCCCACTTTTCCCTACTTTCTATCTATCTGTGACTTTTTTTTTCGATCTCTCTCTCTCTCTCTCTCTCTTTCTGTGTCTGTCTGTATCTACCTCTATCTCGTAACTTATCTAAATTTCTATCTGTCGATCTATCTATCTATCTATCTATCTACCTGGCTGTGTGTCTCACTACACTCGCACTCTCTCACTACTCTCCTCTCTCACGCACGTCTGCTATATCTCTTACTGTGTGCGTGCGTGTGTGCGTGAGTCGCTGCTCTGACAGTCGCTACTGCCTGCCTGCGCGCGCGCGTCGTGTGATCTGTCTCTCGTACTTACTAGCTGCTCTCGTCCCGGCCTGCACTTCTTCTTCACTCCGCCGCGCTGCCAGCCGCCGCCAAGCTTATATCGACCACGCCGCCTGCCGCCGCCGCCTCTGCAAACATGCCCCGCCAATACACGCGAGGGCGGCGCGCGCGTATAGGTCGGATCTTCCGTCTACGAGTCACGCACCCCGCGGCGGCCGGGGGAGGGGGGTGTGCTCACGCGCCATGTTTGTGACGTCATCATCAGGTAGACGCCCGACCCCGCGCGCGTGCGTGCGTGCGTGCGTGCGTTATCCGTCTGCCATTGTCGGTACACGCGAGAGTTCGTCATCGTTGTTGATTGCGAAGGAGGTGATGCGGGGCAGCGGAACGAAGGTTTGGCGATTAAAGTTTGCGCAGACGATAGATAGCGCGTCAGTCTGCGTGAGTGCATCAGCTGCTTTACGACCGGACGCTGCGGAAAGCGGGACGTTAGAGTGAGTGGTCTGCACAGCTCGCGTGGTTTCATTCGCCAGACGCTGGCGCCCGTAGCCTAAACCTGCCGCAGATGTTAGTATACGGCGCGTTTCGGCTGCCGGGTGCCAGCAGACTATGTCGGGCCGACCCGCGAACTCGTAAGCGAAGGCGAAAGAAGCACACACGCGCGGAACGTTATGAGAAATCATTTGGAGTAGAGAAATGATAACCGCACAGTCAGCGCGTACATCGGCAGTTAAATACACGCATGAGAAAAAAGGGGAAGTCTATTGGTATAATAACAGCACTGTGAAAACATTCGCGCATGGAAACCTTGTATTATTCGTCGAGTTAAAACGCGATGAATATCGCAATCAAACTTTTGCGAGGTTTGCAAAATATTTTTAGAGTAAATCGGTCTACATAAAACGCGTACATGCGATTCAAAATTGCCATCTTGAGAGCCCGCGTTAAGTAGAAACGCCGTGTCGGATATCACACAAAAACCCATCGGCGGAACGCGACGAGAGATTGACATTGAGATGTGTGCATGAGCATTAGAGAGAGAGAGAGAGAGAGAGAGAGAGAAAGAGAGAGCAATAGACATAGAAGAAGAGCGAGAGAACAATACCGAATGAGATAGTGAGACACATTTAGAGAGATAGAGACAGTGATACACACCACACACACACACACACACACACACACACACACACACACACACACACACACACACACACACACACACACACACACACACACACACACACACACACACACACACACACACACACACACACACAGAGAGAAGTAGAGAGTCCAGACGACAGAAAGATAGGAATGAGCCGGACAGCCAGCGAAGTGTCAGCGACTAATACAGCAACGGAAGAGGGCAGACCACAGAGGACAGGGAAGAGACGGCGACTAGATACAGAGACCAGAGACAGAGACAGAGACAGAGACAGAGACAGATACGATATTAGATACAGAGACAAGGAAAGAGATAGAGACGAGACAGAGACAGAGACAGTAGAATAGCCTCGAGAGAAGAGAAACGAAAGGACGACACACATATTGAGAAGAGAAAAGCAGCGTCGAGAGAGAGGCGGCGGACAGAGACAGACTGAAAAAGCACGAGCGGCAGAGACGAAGACACCGGAGAGAGCGAAGTGGTTGACGGACAAAACCGGAAGGAGAGAAACACACAAGCTACAGAACAGATCAGACAGGCAGGCTAGACAGCCCAGCAGACCAGACAGCCAGCCAGCACAGACAGACAGACAGACAGCCAGACACGACAGGACATAACAAACAAAGCGGACCAGACGGACAGAGCGAAAGAATTTAACTACCGGCATTTTTTGTGTAAGCAACACAAAATATTATATGACTAACGCTCTCGACTATATCTCTCGTGAATACTGCGGCTTGATCGCGGGTGCAGTTTTGGTGTAATGGTGTTTTGTTGGGTGATTGTCTATCACCACCAAATGTGACCCAGCAGGGCCAGTGCGCTAGTTCGAAAGAGTATATGTCGATTAAAAATGCGCGCTTTAATCGTCAAAATGAGTGCTGATTGCTTAGACGAACTTTCTATCTCCCTCTCACATGCGCGCTTTTTCCTCTCTTTCTGCTCTTCGTATCAGCGTGGCCAAGATGGCTACGGATATTTTTTATTATTAATTTGTAATTCATTTTCATTCCAAATTCATTTCATTTCAAATTCATGTTTCATTTTCCCAAATTCATTTCATTTCAAAATTCATTTTCATTCATCATTTTCATTCCAAATTCATTTTCGATTTCCAATTCATTTTCATTTCAATTCATTTCGTTCAAATTCATGTTGTTCATTTCAAATTTCATTTTATTTCCATTCATTTTATTCCAAATTCCATTTTCATTCACACAAACTTCATTTTCATCCTCAATTCATTTTTATTACGAATCTTTTCATTTCAAATTTCTTTTCATTTTCCAAATTCATTTTCATTCCACATTCATTTGCATTTCATAGATTCATTTTCCATTGCCAAATTCATTTGCGAGGTCCGCCTCGCGGTGGCCGAAGATGGCTAACCGGGCATATTGGTGGGGAGGCGAGTGAACGGGTCCACTTCCCCTTATGGACTCAACAAACCTTCAAACACCGAGAAACAAACGTCCATGTGTAAAGGTTCTTGTCTTGGTTTTATGATCGGTAGATCCAGTAAGTTTCTGATGTATTTTTCATAAAAACACATTGTTACTCATGTAATATAAATATGAATTAGCACTATAAATTGCAATTCTTCTTGTGTAAATGTGTTTATGTTCATTAGATCCTAAAGTTATCAGAGGGTCTGGGCTCTCATAATACCAGGTAAGATATATAGGAGGAGTATGACACTCCAAACACGTGAGGATCCAACATTTGCTTGCCTAATTCTTAACCATTGATATATTACGTGGCAACTCGATTAAAAATTAGCATCTAAATTAGTCGATTGGACCATTCGCACGCGCACACTTCAAACTCTTACTTTTGTTTCATACCTACTTCTTTTTACTGGAGATATAGGCTTTGACGTTCACAGCTGGTTAGTACCGTGTTGACTATGGTGTTGGGTTTACGTTTCGCTAGCTTACCTTCACACAGTGGTTAGGCCTGTGAGGAAGGTTTGTCTGTTGAGCAAGATCCACCCTGTTGGCAGCAGGATACGAATATAGAATATTTATATATAATGGATAATAATAGTATTATGTGTGTATATATATCAGTGTGCTATATATGTGTGTATCAGATATAAGATAATATATTAGTGTGTATGATATAGTCATATATAATATAGGCTCTTATATATCTTACTCTGCCGCACAGGTGGCATTCTTTTATGCGTTGCAGCGTAATATATCATCGTAACAAGATTAGGCCAAGCAATCTGTTGAATTTCGCCTGTTTTGGAGTGTCATACTCCTCGCTATATTATCTTTACTCCTGATAATACTCATCAGTATGACTCAAACCATAACTCATTACAGGGCGCGGGCCATTTGGAGTGAACTAAAACATGGCTCGGAAAAGCCAATAACCCACACAAAAGACACTTAATAAATCAATTAATAAAATTCAAAACACGGGAAAGCCTAGCAGTATTAAAGTAGGATAAAAGGATATAGGCGCGAGATAAATAATAAACAATTAAACTAGAAATACAAATGGAAAATAACTTCGGCCGGTACGCAGCGTATGCAAAAAGGGGGACTAAGTGCCCTCCCCTTATGATAGTATTGGTAATTGTATATTAATATATCAATTAGTTATATCAGTATTAGTAGTATGTGTAGTAGTAGTAGTATGGTAGTAGCTAGTAGTAGTACGCAGTCGTAGTAGGTATAGTAGTAGTCGCAGTGAGTAGTAGTAGTAGTAGTAGTAGTAGTAGTCAGTAGTAGTAGGAAGTAGTATAGTAGTAGTAGTATAGTAGATAGTAGTAGTCATAGTAGTAGTAGTAAGTATAGTAGTTGTACATGTGTCATTAAACTGTGTATATATTATTCCTGCCTAGTTTAGACTGGTAGAAAATTTCCAGCTAGTGTAATACATTATCCAGCCCCTAGATAGGATGATAGGAGAAATTTTTCGCAGCTTAGTGTAAATTTAGGTAGTAAGTCGTTAAATCTAGCTTAGAAAATGTATACACTAGCTGGAATTTCTCGTATCACTCTAATGCTAGCTAGAAATATGTATACCACTAGCTGGGAACTTTCTCCTACCAGTCTAAATACCTGGATTTAATGTTACCGAGCTGAAACATTTCTGCCTACTATCTTAACTACTGGGAAAGTCCCCTCCTACCAGTCTAGAAGACTAACTAGAAAATGTATACGACTATCTGGGAATGTTTCGTATCCTCCCAGTCTAGCTAGAAAATGTATACACTAGGCTGGGAAATTTTCCTACCAGTCTAAAATTAGCTGGTAAATGCATACCATGCGCTGGATAAAATTTTTCCTATATCTAAACTAACTGGGCAATTCCTCCTACGCAGTCTAAACTAACTAGAAAATGTATACATCTAGCTAGGAAATTTCTGCACTCAGTCCTAAATTAGCTGGATAATTGTATACTACTAGCTGGAAATTATCTCGCTACCACTCTAAACTTAGCTGAAAATGTAGCGTGCACTATTTAACCGGCTGAGAAATTTCAGCGTGGCGCTTCACACGGGTAATTTGTTGACCGCGTGTGGACCATGCGGCAGCAACACAGAGTGTCGACTTTTTCCCGGCTGAGAAATATACGGGACAACCCGCCTTGACGGACGGCGTTTGTTTAGATTTAGCCTTTTTGCATCCGCTGGTACCCGGCCGGAGTTATCTTTCCATTCGTATTCTAGTTTAATTGTTCATCGTAATTGATTGCAACTTTATCCTTTATCCGATACTTTAATACCTGATAGACTTTTTTCTTTTTGATTTTATAATTGATGTTATTAAGTGTATTTTGTGTGGTTACTGGTTTGCATCCATGTTTAGTTACTCTCCATAAAATGGCCGCGCCTGTTAATGAGTTTTTGGTGATGTCATGTAGTATTAACGCCAGAGCCGCGACCTCCTCATAACTT